GCTACCACTGAAAGACGACTCAAATTGGCACGTCTTACGATTTTGAACAACTGAGAAGAGAGGAAATAATAGTGCAAGTTGTCCTTTTGCGCGTTGGACAGTTACCGTTCCATTAAGATGAAGCATCCTTGATTTTCTTCCGAACCGAAAATAGTTTACGTCATTTACTGGTTTCACTGTAATGACAATTAACAATAATAGTAGATAATGATAATGATAATAATGATGATGATGATGATGATGATGATAATAATGATGATGATAATAATAATAATAATAATAATAATAATAATAATAATAATAATAATAATAATAATAATAAATTTACCTGTAAGTGGCATGATCCGCCGAAGGCTCGTCGATACACCTAACATATTGCGTCGCGGTTGTAAGCTGGTCATTCCATAGTAAAGGACACAGAAATATAAAATAAGGATTTTGTTGAGCTAATCACTAACATATTTTCTTAGGCTTTTCAGAAACGATTTTCTTTGAAAGATGTAGAGTTTACTTTCTTTCTTGTCGGGAATGTGTAAATTACATTACGTCGCCTGTGATACGAGTACTTGAAGACTCGAGTTACATTTCCTTGGTTTTAAAACTCGTTCGAATTTTTCATATTTATGTCATTGTGGCTGATAAAAGTGTGTCCGCAAAACACGACCAACTGTTTTTGACTTCTGCAATTTTTACAGACAAATATTTTATTAAAATTCACTTTTCTTGCGATAATTAAAATGGGCGGAAAATATCACAGCAAAAACTAGCGGTGACACAGAATAGCTCGTACTAGTTTCTTTATCTCTTTAGTCTAGGTTTTTGATGTTGCTCTACCCTCTACCCTCTTCCCCATTCCTCTTCCTTCATGTATTGACGCCTTTTTTCTTTCTTCACATCTTCCCTAATTTTCATATCCCTAATAGTAACATTAAAATATGAATTCAAGATATTTTTTTGTAAAAATTAGCCAACTGCACATCCCATTAAGGGCAAGGGCTTCCTGCTTGAGCAGGGAATTATTAATCCTTCTTTAATGAAGTGATAGGGTGAAGGGACGATCACAAATATATCCATGCCGGAGGCGGGATTCAAACCCCCGATCCTTCGATCCGAGATCGCCACGACACGACTGCCTTAGCGATCTCGGCTATCCTGATTGACTTAAGGATATTATAGAAGAATACAGTTGGGTTCTATTAGAAAATTTTTATAGAAATTTCTGGAGCCATTTTTTAGAAAATGTCGTTAAGCATTTCTGAAAATGCACAATTTTGAGCTAATTTTCGCAGAAAACTAGTTTTTCGAGAAATTTCATTTTAAATCTTCTTAACCATTTGTACTCACAAATGGTGTTATGTGTGGAAGACATCCTTTATGTAAATTTTATCTAGAGAAATGTAGACAAAATTACGTTTGTTTAATTTTTGAAAAATGAATAAAAAAAGTTGAAGTGCCATGTGCCAAGTGCAATTAGCAGTATCGGCAAAAAAATTAAAGATAAAATTTAGTGCCGTTTACGAGAGCCAATTTGTTCCAATGTTATTAGTAATGTAATGTTTGCTTATTTTGGTGGTGCCACATGGTGACAATTTGATTAAGTTTTGGTACATTGAACTTGAAATAAATGCTCGCGGTTTTCCATGCTGTCGGGAAATGCCCTTGTGCTAAGCAGGCATTGAAGAGCGCTAGGAGAATCCCCCCCCCCCTTTTGTCGCCAATGGCTTTCAGTTGGGTGACGGTGATGCCGTCAGGGTCGCGCGATTGTGTTGAGGTTGAGGCGGCGGAGCGCTGCGCGTGCTCTCCGTTCGTCACGCGGCGAGCTGAGGGGCTCGGTGCAGCTGTCAGATGGCACCGCGGGCGCTCCGCCGTCGAGTCAGCATGACTGGCGCCGACGTCGATATGTCGGAACTGCCGCTCGAGCGAGTCGCCAAAGACTCCCACTTATTTGTCGGTGTCGCAGGTGGTTGACCCGGAAGCCTTGGGGCGTCCGCGTTGGTTTGTACGAGGTGGTTCACTCTTGAAGCGCTTTGGGTGAGCCCCGTTGGCGTTTAGCGTGGAGATCGCCCTCGCCTATTGAATTTTTCCCCCGTTTCTCTCGTCTCCGAGACGCGCGGAGTACTCGGCTAAGCGCTCTCGCCCGCACCCCGTCTGCGGGATCACCACATCGGCGACGAAGCTTCACTGCTCTACTCTCTACTCATTTGTGGGTTCGGGACGAGAATCTGGCACGCGTGTTGCTTTAGTCACCTATTTTTATACGGACGTGACCGTATCAGGGAGCAAGTTCACCGCTGTTTCAATACCCATACTTGCAACTAGCTGTCTCTGCTCGAGCAATCGCTCACTAGAGCTTGATAACTGACCCAGGCAATATCCCGCGGTTTTTGCTGGTGTGTTGCGACCAGGGATATCAACACACATTAAATCCTCATACTGCAACTTGATCGTGACAGAGAATGTTTTTCGTAGTGAAATATGTTCTTAAAATCAGAACTTCGAATAATTTCATGGGCAATATTTTCAAAAAGAGTAATTCGGCTGATCCCGACATCAAAGTGGGCCCTCCGGAATGATTTCCCCGAGAATCATACTCGGATTACCACGTAGGGGGCATTGACTTTGATCAGCTTAGACACGGTTATCCAATTGGAAGCTCGTTACAACTTCATTATTTGTATTGAAGCTCCCGATTGAGTAACCGCTGATAAGCCAATTCGCCACCATGTTTTTATCTCATATTGAAATATTTGGAGTAGTCGGATGTAATTACTCGCGAATGGCCTTTAGATCGTGTCAACCCACTTGGTGTACTCTAAAACAAATGTATACCCTACGAGTGTATACTAATGGGTTAGAAACCTGATGGTCGGGCGTTTATATACCTAAAATAGACAGGCAAATGGCACGTATTTGAACTAAAATAGGCAGATATTTATTCAGGTTGTGGTTAATGTTTTAAAATGGCATGTAATAAAAATTTACCTTTAAAAGTAATTATTTAAATATTAATTTGCACGTTGCACATTTTAATTCTAACTTCTTTTAACTATTCAACTGTTCTCCTTTTTTAAAGATTGTTTTTAGATCATATTGTGTTGGAGACAAAAATCTTTATCTTCAATTTTGTAGTTTTTACATAATAAAACTTCGCAATTTTCGAACACACAGCTAGTTCATCGGAAATGAGACCTGCACCATTTGTATTTACCGTTCTTTGATACGACTCGTTCATACTGTGAGAAAATTTATAGAAAAATGGAGCCGTTTTTGAGACAAAAATTCAATAATTGCCTACAACATACGTAGAATTACGCGAGAACACACATTTTCGAAAAATTGTACATGACACTTATTTTGAGATTTGTTTCTAAAGAACAGATTTAATTCAGGAAAAAAGAAACTATCTTCAATATTGTAGTTGTAGGAAGACGCCGAAATACAATTGAATGTTTGCAATTTTCGAAAAATTAAGTTTTCCATTTACTCATGAGATACCCAAGAGGGGCCACCGGGAAGGGTAGCTCTGGCATCAACTGATGCCACTGCATTGCCTCTAACCTGAAGGTCCATGGGTTTGAGTCCAGACAGCGGATCTTGGTGATAAAAAAACCTGACTAATGAACTTCGCTGTTGACGTGCCTGGAATCACTCATGATTCAGCCCATCAGGGGCTATTCGCCCCATCCCCCTATGGGTGCTGGAGTCTTCCGTGGGGTCCGGGTCGGATGGGATCGAACCTGAAATGGAGGGGGGGTGTTCAGGCAGTCAAGAGAGGACAGTATTAAACAATAGTTATAAAACATTGTTTACAAATATTGGTTGTATGAGCGGAGGCAAGACCACGTCGGTAGCAGTTCAGTTTTCTTTATCGTATTATTTGCTACATATTTAGAAACTTATACAAGGAAGAATCTATATTTAACATCATGCAAAAGATTTTTCAAAAGAAAGGAATTTCTATTTGCTATATTTTTCCAGCTGCTACTGATAATGCTGCAGCAATATCAGGGCGAAGTAAATATTTAAAACGGGCAATGGTAAATGTCAGTGTCAATATTCACACCACTGGAGTAGGGCTGACCAGACGTGCTGGGAAGGGACGCGCTCCCCCTTAAACCGATAAGTTTGAGGAATAGGCTCTTTCGGCAGCTCTGAACTGGAACATTGAGAGGCTAAGCTAAAGTAATTTGACTGTAGTTATTAACGTTAATTTATGATTACAAGGTTACAAGTTGTATTTAATTAAAATAAAATTTAATTAAACAAACCCTTCCCCGTCGCCCCCTCTTCTTCCCCGTCGCGATTTTAAGTATTATTGCCTCAATCCATGTTCTGTCAAATTATCATAATGAGTATGTGAATTTCCATGACATTAACTGCAGGGTCAGTGATATTATTTTACCTGATATTTTGTGTTTAACATTAGTACTTCATTCATGCTACGTTTTGAGTGCTCATTCTTTGCATCTGCATAAGCTTCATTTACATTTTGCGAAAAATGTACATGATACTAACAAATTCATTCTGCTAACCAGTATCGAATTATCCATAAAAAAACTAAAATATTTTTTGTTTGCAATCTTAAAGTTGTTTGCTCGCTCTCCCTTTCTTCTCTGCCGGTCGCTCTCCCTTTCTTCTCTGCCGGTCGCTCCCTCCCTCCCTCCCTCCCTATTCCTTCCTTACCTACTTCCACTCGCTCTCTCCCTGCCTCTCTGTGTCCGCTCTCTCTCACTCTCAGCTAATTCTCTCATTTACGCTCCCACTCTGTCTTTTTCTTTTAACATCTTAAACCAACCAATTGTAATGAAAGCTAGAGTGTTTGAAACACTTTTAAGTGTTCTGAAAACGCCCTATAAAATTGATAGACTGCATTTTGCGACAGTTTCTGTTGAAAACTACTTTATTGTAAAGCATTTCATATTTTGTGATGCACACTAATTATAGTTAATTAACAAAAATTTACAATGTCTAATTCGGCAATGAAATGTGTAATGTTTCAGCATGGACTGGAGCTGGACCCTGTTCTGATTGGACTGCTTTAGACCCAGCGATAATGTCTTCAAGGCCTCACAGCATCTTTTCCTCAAGTTCTGTGACTCCTCAACATCCCATTATTTTGTGCAACACAAATTCGGTTTTGAATCAACAAAGTCCAAATACCCAGTATTTACATCTACAAAATACAACTCATTGGTTGCGATCCCTAGCTTCTGATGGCTGTCTTTTGTATGGTGCGAACATTAGTCAGAATATGTCCAATTCTGACTGGACTGTACAGAGTCATCATTCTAATTCTATAGCTCCTCCACCTCCTGGTTTCAGTCTACGAATGACTACACAACAAACTGCTATTCAAAATAAATTGGCTGTGTCAGCATCACAAGAGATTACCAAAATTGAAAGTGAGTTATGCAATGATTATTGTTAGCATTACTGTTCGTTATAATTGTCTGAAAAACAGTAATACTGGGAGTGTATGTGCACAAGAAAATGACTACTATTATTCTTGTAAAAAAGTCTTTTAAAATTACAAATTTGCAATTATAATTGATGTAAAGATCTTTCATTCACATATGGTGCATGTATGCTGTGAAAATCGTGGTTATGTTACCTTGCCAAAATGTTCGTAATGAAATTGTTGTAGACAAAGTTCTTTCTTTGAACCTTGAGCACAGATAACAATATTTTATTGTATAAGTGGGGTTTCTTAACAGACGCTTAATAAAATTCACATATGTGCTTAAACTCTCAGAGGAAACATTGTAAGTGTGCTGCTTCTGCCACCTAATGGCACTTGTTCGTACTTCTTTAAATGGTACACACTGCAATAATTGTTTTTGCTAATCATGTTTCTACAGAATTTCAAGTGTTTTGCTATAACTATGTTGATTTCAGTCTTCTTGATTGATTGCAATAGTTATGGTATACCTTTAAAAGGTGCTACTTCGTTTTCTTTAACTATCTTGTATTTTCATGTACTTAATTTTCCTTTGTGACAGTTTTGATCACAAAAAAATCATTGCAACTTCAGAAATGCATGTCTTTTGTAATTCTGATCTCTTTTCTTCCAGATATTTAAATTGACCACAATTACAATAGAAGATATCAACTGCTCGTGAAGACAAATCGATTCCAAATTGAAGCCTTTTATTCTCCCTCCTTCTTGCCTTTCTAGCTGCTATTTTCTCAACGTCTATTCTTATTTCTCTTCATTTTGGCATGCCTGTCTTCATATGGATCCTTTTCCTTCATAACCTGTATTTTTATGCTGTTGGCTGTTTATACTCAGTTTTACTTGAAGGGAATCTATTTAATGGAGCCTAAATGTACGAGGTTTAGACTTGTATATGCCTTTTCCAAGGAAAGCTTTCTAGATACATGTGGAGAAAATGTACTCCAATGTGATCAGTCTCTCTTTTTTTAACGCAATTATTACAGTACTAAAATTGTTGTTTTTTTTAAACTTCTGCTGTTGCAAATTATATCAACGTAGAACTTCAAGTTATCTCACATGACCATTATGGGTTTTAATAATTTTGTTATACTTATGTTAATAATTTATTTAAAGTTTTATTTTATATTCAATTTTTTCGTTGCGTGCTTATACAAGCCATTAATTATCACACCAAGTAATTTAGTCTTCATACTCGCTTGTGATGTGTGAAAGGAATTGCGGAACACTGGGAGAATGCTCAGGAAAGTTCGAAGAAAGTATTTTCATAAATTTAATATAAAGGAACTAGGAAAAATGTTCACATTTACAATTGGTTTTTTTGTTTGTTTTTGTATCATTACTTCTTTTGTTGTTGTAAGGGTACTTGTAAGTAATCAAATCTAGAATTATTGCTGTCTGATTTCAGTCGGTGCTGGTATTATATTTGGTAAACAAAGATTTAATTCAATAGAAGTAAGACTTCTTTCATTTTGTTTTTTCACGGATTACGGCCCAGCAGTAAGTATTACCGAGAAAGAAACGGACATGAAAACGGTCTGAAGAAAATATTTCTTCAGAGGGTAAAGGAAAAGGACTGTGATTGTCTCTTGCCTTTCCCTTCAAGGTGTTGCAATCTACTAGTATAATCCTGTTGCAATGTATGATTATGAATGATGAAAACAATGAAAAAATTTTATAGGAAATGCATGTTATTTCCTTGTATATTGCAGAGAATTTAAAGGATGCTGCTTTGTAATTGGTTATAATTCTGATATTTTCTGAGAACAAAAAGGATTGCATAAAAAATTCCCTACTGAGCAAACAATAAAAGCAGTGAAAAAATATTTGTGTTATGTGATCTCCATTTCTGTTCCTTCCCTGGTGGCAAGTAAAATTCCTTGAAAACAATAATTAAAGTCATATATATGAGGTTTTCGTAAGATATTAATTGAGCAGTTAATCCTATTTCTCCTGCAGTTATATCTACCTCATACAGAAGACAGCAAACAATCCAAAAGTCTTTGTGATCATATACTTTATATTGTTGCGAGGAGGTGGGGGTGCAATGGTGATCGACATCAATTCCGAAGTGCGAACAGACCATGATCATTGTTCCCATTATGATCCTAGAAAAGGTATATTGTTTTGTTTCTGTAACAATCTGATGTGTGCAAATTGGGTTAAATTTTTATTGTTGAAAATAAATTCCAGAGTTTGAATTGAATTTTGATGTGACTGTTACCTATTCATGTGTTTACAGCATGCAAAAACAAACGGGTATTAAAAATTTGGTTGATGCAGTGTGTGCATTCATGTATGCGAGTGTCTGCATGGGCACGTAGACGCGCGTATAATATTCATATATTTAAAACAATATTGCTTTATTTTCGGAGGATAGAAGACAGTTTTATAGTGTGTTCAGTAGAAATGTTTGCTTAGGAGGAAAGAAGCATCGATTGCAATGGCAGTCTGGGAGAGGTGGAAAGCTAGTAGTGTACTAGGAGAGGCGTTACTCGCCCGTCACTTGATGCGATGTTTGCCGACTTTAAAACGTTAAACTTTATAGCTCATCGCCCTTGTTACGTATTTATTCATGTTCGTAGATAGCAATGAGGTAAGTGAAGGGCGAGAGAAGGGGAAGTGTCTCTCCGTCGTATGGTGATAATATTAAGAATGTAGTTACAACGGCTGAAGACTGCAATGCGAAAATAATATTTACGAACAACGGGCGAAAGAGCGTGAGTAATGCTCGCTACACAATCAAACGGCTTCACTGAAATTCTCTTTCTGATCTCAGGTTTTTCATCACTGCATTAAAATTAGTTTGCAATTATCGTTCAGTCTGTTGAGCAATTTTTCCTTTAACAGATGGCGGCGGTGCCTATATTTGAACTGTGTTGATGGTATTTAAAATGAAACTTGAATGTAAATTGTTCGTATGTGTTATACGTATTGGGATAAGTTCCATGCGTAATTTTCTACATTTTACTTTGAGGCGTTGAACGAAAGTGCGTGGTAAATTCCCTATTTTGCTAGTAAAGTGTGCAAGCTATTCGTTGCAAATTGAAATATTTTGAAAATTGATTTTTGGTCCGAGGAATGCCGGTCAGAGCCAGTGCGACCAAGCGCGGGAATGATTTCGGCAATTGTTATGGTACTCTAAAGCAAGGTTTTGAGATGGATCATTTGTTTTGAATATATATATATATATATATATATATATATATATATATATATATATATATATATAAAACTAGGGACGCCTTGATAAAACAGGATTGACGCTTTAGTTTAAAGTTATTATAAACAAATCCTGCCGCCTCAATACATAATCATAATTCACTTCCAAGAAATAACGACAAATTGTCAATATCGTATTTTAAATATTTATGCTGTCGTTAATGATACCTCAACTATCATCTGTAATTTTCTTGTTTTGCCGAGATTGTACTAAAAAGTGGCCAACTGAAGCAAGATATAAACTTGTGTATATTGTTACTGATATTTTAAGAGTATGCCGTTAAAAAAATGTATGGGATAGAAAGTCTCCATAAGCAAAGAAAATAAAAACCGACGATTGCAATAAAATATGTTATTGGCACGTCTGATGGTTCAATTCAATAGTTTTCGAGGCGCCCCATTAGTTTTGCAGTTTCAGTGGCTAGAAGAGGCGGCAATGGATCCTGCACGATTTTATGTAGTCTGCTCCGCGCGCGCGCCCGGGCATTCGCACGCTTCGGAACTCGAGATTGCTTTGGCAGAAGGATTAAATATAATCCTTCTGCCAAAGTTAATATATCCACTAAGGATGAACATCGTGATACGGGAAAAACTGAAGCACCTGAATTGTAAAAGCCCTATTCAATTAAATCCACTATCAATTAGTGAAATGAATAAAAACAACATATTACGAATACCAAATGTCATAATACATTTTTTTGTAAAACTATTGAGGTGATGTATTTTTTACGGTATTCCACATTGCTGTAGTTTTATTACTAGCATTTAAAATAATATAATACAACCTACATGGGAGGAACACAGAAGAAATACGATCCAGCTCTATGCTTCCATGACAGAGGAATGGGTGAGCTGCACGGATGTTCCTTGGAATTTCTGGGAACACCAATTGATCTTAATCTTCGAAACTGTTAGATTCAGAGAACGCATTAAGCGTAAACGACTACAGCAAATATCAGATGCCCAAAATGCTGTTCCTTCACGAGATGTGGCAACAATCGAAAATAGCACAGAATTTTATCTGGTGTCTCCCTCAAGGTCTTCCTATATTCGCTTCGCGAACCCTAGTTTTAGAACCTATTTTGAAACAGAACCTTAAATTTGGCATTAATAAATTAAATTGTGTTCTATTCTCAGTGAAGGGCTTTTAAGGAGAGTTCTAGCGGTCATTGCGTCAGTTAAAAATAAAAGTGTGTGAGTACTACATTGACACGAAGGGAACGCGTGTGCACAGAGCAAGCTATCCCAATACAAGTCTCATGCGATCTGAGAAAAAAAGTAGCATCTTTATTACTAATTTCCAATGGGCACAGAAATTGGAAAAAAAAGTCTAAGCCTCGAGCGATGTGAATTGTCGATGGTTTCATCAGATACCCAGGAAAGCCGGGGGGGGGGGGGTCCAAAAACATTCAGTGAGTAAGATCTTTAGCGATCATTGATGGTTCCGAAGAAAAATGACCGTTGGCAGAGATCGCAAAATCTAAGTAATGACAATATAGAAACCGGACTCCGGGTGTAATTTTGTTTACAAAGAAATGAAGTACGCTTTGTTAGTTATCACGTTTTCGTTTACACAAGTACAAAATTTCGAAAGCATTTTTGCCTCAGTGCGGAATATTTTTACTGTCTTATCAAATAATTAATCGATTCCAGGAAAAAGCGGCCGTTTTAGAAGAGACCGCTTAATTACGGGGGCAGTTTTACCATGTTTCTCTATATATTACTAATTTCCAATGCGCGCAGAAATTGAAACTACGTAGCCTCTGGTCGGTCGTATGAGACTTTTCTACGGTTTCTTTAGAATGGCAGGAATTTAGCAATGGAACCTTTTCGATTTTCACTGAAAATTGTGAATAGTTAATTATGTTATTCTACCTATTCTCATACTACTCGCACTAATTGAATTCTCATTCTCTGCATTTAACTACTTACAACACAGGTAACGTCATACGACACCAAGACTCCTTGCTGTATTAAATAAGCCAATACGTATTTGCTATTTACGTGTTGCATAAAGGAATAACAACGTTTATGATATTCGTGGTATGTAAAAAACTGTTGTGTGGTTTTCTTCGGCAGCATTTTTTCTGCTGCCGGCCACTAGTTATTCTCTTACAGAAAAGCCAAATGATTTGCCAGAGGAGAGGAGAGAGCAATTACTGTTAATATGATTGCAAGTGTTATATTTTGGATGTTTTGTTGTGTGCTGAGAAAGTTTTGCCTCTGGGCGAAAGGATATGATTACCAAACCAACAATTTTCGAAATATATTCAAAATTCTGTACTACGTGGTCTATGTATAGTAAATTCCTTTCTCTAAAACGTGTAGTCAGAATGACTGATAGTGAAAAATCGATTGACGGCAAAACGTCTCACTGTCCGTAGTCATTCTCTTAAGCATCCTTTACGGATTAAATTATCCGTTCCCAATGCAGAGGGCCTCAAGTTCATTTAAATCGATCTGGGAATAACAATTTACGGTTTACGCGCTGGTGTAACTGTCGGACGGACATAGACGTTTCATTGTAAATAGATTTTTCGTTATCAAGGACCCACCAAACATGGATTCTGACTACACATGTTCGAGAAAGTAATTTACTACATACAGGAATAAGATCTATCCAAGTTTTTGTTACTAGCACCCCATAATAAAAACTACTCTACTTTATCTTCTTACGAAAGGCGAGAAAGTAAACTACCAACAATATAGTACTTTTGCGATGTTAATTGTTTACATGCTCGCTGATGACTGAACAGCGACGCACAGAATATGGGAATTCTTCAGATTTTGTTTGAATTCGATTAATTTTTGCTATCTCTTGGGGCGCGTTAACTGGTGAGCACATTAGTTCCGTGAATGTAGTGGATGTTTTATCGCGGGAAGTTGCGGTGTTCCCCCCCGGTGGATGGCGAGTTCCGTTGCAAACCTACACGTCGGTTAGCGGGGCTTTCTCCAACCAGGTATCTCCTTCCATCAACACCGCCCCAGCCGAGATAATCTGTAAACTTCCGACATGTAGTGTAGTGCATGTTAGTGTGCATGTAAGGAAAGGGAAGAAAAAACTACCGTCGGGACTAGAATCCTCAGACCTCCCGGTCACAGGCAGTGCAGTCCGAGGACAATGTTTAATAATGAAACATTGGTGCCATTTTCATAACACTTTGTAATATCTGGGTACAGGAAGAAAACAGGCAAGTCATTTTTCTCAAGAATGCAGAAAAACGAGTTTTCAAGTTTAAAACCCTACACAAGTTGCCTGAGAGTCAAAACTTTAAGGGCTTATTACTCTTGACTAGTGTGTTTTTTTCCGATTTGAAAAGTGTAAAATAAGTTTCTTTCCAATCTGCATTGAAGATTAAATTAATTTCGCAAACAATTTTACTTATCTGCTTCTTTCCCTGGACCCTTCAATTGAGACTTCATGTAAAGTACTCCCAAAAAATTAAAATATCAGATTCAAACTCAAACTCCGTTTAGTGCGTTTTGGGGGATTACCTATTTTTGAAGAAAATCGTCTGAACCGTTTTAGGTGCTAGCGTCGATCATCAACGGACATACACATATTTACAGTCACTTGATTTTCGAGGACCCATAAAACTTGAGTTCTGACTACACGTGTTAAGAGAACGTAATTTGGGTACCACTTATACATTTATCCATTTTTTTCGCTACCTGGGCCCAGCAATAAGTGTTGTGTCGACTAATCGCCTTTTTCTCTTCTTACGAAGTGAAGCGAGACAGTGAGTGAACAATATTTTCTCAAAAAAAAAAAAAACTTTTTCTCGAATACAGTATATATACAGTTTTGGTATTTTAGGAGCAGTTTGCCAAAAAATGCGGCTGGTGATAAGTTCGTTACTGCGAATCATAAGTATCTGGAATCGAATCTCAACCCGATCAAATATTTCTTGCGGGTTGGAACTATTTTCGCAGGTTCAAATAGTATAAAACAACGCACACGATTCCCTTTCGGTTCATCATTCG